CCCAGCCTCCCCTGCCCTCCTCTGCTGCTGTTCCCTCTCACTTAGAAGTCAAAGGATGTTGCTGACAGGCTCAGTCCCTTCTTCGCACAGATTCCTGCCCTTATTTCTTACAACACTGGTTCTGATTTCCAATTTTTTCCTTTATCTGAGCTGTTAGGGTGCTGGGATTGGTCTGAAAGCTTATGACTCCCGGTGTATCATTGTGATTCCTTTCCCCACCAAATATGCCCAGTCCAAAGTTTTCTGATGAGATGCCACCTCATAAATGTGTAGTGGCAGAGAAATCTGTTAAATGTGGCTCTTCCCAGGTGCTTAGGGCTGTTACATGTACATTTGTCTGCCAATAGATGTGTACAACAGCTGTCAGGTGTTCACTGCTATTTAGCTTTCACTTTTTCTGCCCCAGTACCTGGAAAGCCTATGCTTTCCTCTGCACAGAGATGGTGTGTGCAATCCCAAATGTGGTGGGTGCAGAAGTGTCAGGGGATAGCCTGGGCTGCGTCCAGGGCAGGTGGATAAGGAATAAGTTCATGCTTTATGTGGTGCTTGGGGTTCTCCTGCCCTCCCCCTGCCATTGCATTGCACATAGATGGCCGTTTGGATTCTCCTCTGCAGTTATTTATACCCCTTACTGGAATTGCAGCACTGGCACTGCTGATGGAAACTGAGTGTCGTGGGTGACTCACTAGGCCCTTTGCTCATATGTTCTGAAAGTCACCAAGCTTCGTGTACTGCAGAGCACCTTGCTCGCTTGCTAGCTGACTGCCCAGCCTTTGCAGTGTGCTGAGGCGCTCTCTTGTGGTGGGCAGGCTTCCCACATGCTCGACCTGTCTGTGTCAGGCTAGCTGGTGCAGGCAGTGTGCGTTTCAGCTGTGCCACTTACTGTAGATCACCTTGGGCCTCAGACTGGTGTTTCTAGGTCTACAATGACCTTTTCTGGCCACTGTGGCCTTGATGATGCTCTTGGAGCTGTAGCCGTGTCGGACAGGATTGTAGACAGGAAATGCATCCCTGTTTAGACGACATTGTACTGGTCCCCAGAGGTTGCTAGCTCTACTGGAGTGTTGTCGGGAGAGGATGTGAAATCTGGAGTGCCGTCCTGTACCAGCCTCTGGAGAGCATAAACTCCATCTTCCCTGTCTCTGCAAGCAACTGAAATGACAAAACTGTTGGGAAAACCAGGTTGTGCTCTTGTGGGAGTGGCTCATTTCTATACTTTCTGCCTTGGTTGTATTCCTTCCTTCTTTGTGTTTACCATTTCCACAAAAAAAGCTGCTTGCTTAATTCCACCAGCTGCAGCTCTTCAGCAGACCAAGAGGCAGCCCAGATGCAAAGCTCAGCTGTTTTTGGACGGTTTGTCGCAGTGCAACTGTGTGCAGAGGAGAACTCTAACCTATCAGAGAAAAGGAAAAGAAAAAATAATCCTGTAGAAGTGTTCTGCATTAGCTGTGCTGGGCTGGCATTACTGCTTTCCAGAGTGTGGGATCTTGCATGGTGGTTGGGTGATGTCCTTCAGCAGATACATGTAGGAGTTCTTGCCAAGATTTTATTTATTTATTTTTTTTTTAATCCAAAAGCCCATCCTTAAATGCCCAGGGAGGTTGTGGAGTCTCCTTCTCCGGAGATATTCAAGACCCGCCCGGACAAGGTCCTCTGCAGCCTGCTGTAGGTGACCCTGCTTCGGCAGGGAGGTTGGACTGGGTGACCCACAGAGGTCCCTTCCAACCCCTACTATTCTGTGAAATGGGAAACATGCTAAGGAATGATGGCATGCATGGGTGATTGGTACACAGCACCTGGCTCAGTGGCTGCACCCCATCTCCAGTGCTGTGTAATGTCTTTCTGATTATCTGCTGCTGCTCTCAGTATGGCTAGAAATGGGGATCTTCCCCTGAGCTGTTGGAAGCACTGGAATGATGGGCTCTTGCACCAGAGGTTCTGGGATGAGCACTTGCAGTTGTTAATTTTGTTTCAGCTCTGTTGATTGAAGTCTCAGTTTAGCAACACATTGATTTAGCTGAGGTTTTCTCATCTTCAGGATCTGTAAGGGGGTTGCAGGTAATCAGGAAACAGAAGCTGGTATCTTTGCTCCTGTCCTGCTGTATGTGGCCAAGGAGGGTGAAGGAGCAGCTGGGCTCACGTGCTTTTAATGATGGTCTTCCTTAAGCCATCCAGGACTGCAGGAATGATGTGATGCAGCAAATAGGTCTTCAATAAATTGGTGTTTGTGAGTGGAGTGACGGATGATGGTGGTGATTTGGGTTTCTTTTACTTTTGGGGGAACCCTGCAGAGCCAAATGTGCATAAATTGATACATTTGTATTGCAGGGTGTCTCTTGTTCCTGTAGGAAAACAGTGTTGCTGCCCCTCTGGTGTGCTGCATGTGCTGCATAACACAACTTCCAGAAAGCTTTCTCCAAAGACAAAAGCTTAAACTGAATTATTGACAGACCTTAGGGATGTTTTTCAGGCTCAAATAAGTCACTATTTCTGCCCAGTCCCGGGGAAGGGTGTACTGGGTTCTACTCCACAGGGTCCCAGCTTGCTGCTGTGGAGAGAAATGGCTCAGAGGGAGCTAAAACACCTCAGTTGCTGCTGAAAGGGAAAACAAGTGACACATGAGTTTGATGTGAATGCAGGCAGGGAATGGACAAGGACATTAGGATCTAGCAAATCTTTCTGCTGTGCCCGTGTCGGGCTCATGGATGGCACCGTTTCATGCTGTGGGCCCACACTGGAAGCTTTGATGCTGAATCAGCCTCTGTGGGGATGCACTCTCATTGTTGCAGGTGCCAAGATGAGGTGTTCTCCCCCTCCCCACCCCTGCTCCATTTGGTCTTTCAACAACTTCTGGTGTCTCTTCGAGTATAAGAAGGTTTAAAACACACTAGGCTTTTACAGTGTTTTTATATAATGTATGTAAATGCTTGTTGAAGTGGTATTTTATTAAATAGTTTTGCTCTAATAGCTTCTGTGTGCGAGGTCTGTTGACTTCCTGGGAACCAGTGTGGTTTTGTCTTACCCTGCATGTTGTGTTTGACTCATGGGAGCAGTTACAGCCAGTCCAGTAGCATGAGGCCACCAGCCTTCCCTCTCCTCTGCAGGTAACCATGGGCTGCCTTAATAAATCTTGATGATCCTGGCACCAGTCACCCATATTCCCAAAAGGTAGGATGCTTCTGGGGCAGGAAATGATTCTGCTGCCAGCCTGACTTCAGAGTGTCCCTGCTGAGCAAGTTTGCTCCACCCAAGTAGAAATGGGCATGGAGATGAGGCTTTTTAATAGGTGCAACGGAAGGCTAAATATTTATTTTTTATCATCTATTAGTGACTTTCTTTCCACTGCTCCTGCTCAGATAGGGCAAAAGGGAAAAATGAGCTACTTGTCAAGCATCTGAGCTGCTTCACAACATTGTCATCACTTTCCCCTACTTTTCAAGAATATTAAACCCCCTATTTTGTCTTAAAGTTTTTTTTCTGGGGGCAAGGAGGATGGGAGGGGAAGGCTAACCCTGAACTATTCTGACCTTGAAGCCCCAGTTATAAAAATACCAAGCAGTTTCTATTTACACATGATGATATCACATGTAGTTCTGGACTGTGAATGGCAGCCAAGCTGCCCAGCTTGCAGCTAAGTTGTATTCTCAATAAACAACCAAACTGAGACTACTATTTGTTCCAGTCATTTATTTTGTATCATGGTATTTCAGAGCAGTGAATACAGATGGTTTGCTCTTGTAGGCTTCAATACACTCAACTATTGTGCCTAGAATACAGTGGTCTGTTTATAGAAGCTGCATTTCATAAGTAAGTTGTACTTGATCACAGCACAAAAGTCCTTTACGGCTAGATCTAATGCCAGAGTTAGGGGCCTAGTGGGTTCGAAGTCTGATATTTAGGTGCCTAGGCCCTGTAATGGACTTGGCACCCACTGAGGTGCCTGGACTCCTGCTACAGGGGAAGGATAGACTTAGGCAGCTCTGAAAGGTGATGCAGGAACCTGTCTACTGAGCTCTTCCTACAGGTCACAGGAAACTGCTGCATGGGTGAGAGCTTCTGAAAAGCCATCTCTCCCTGGGGTCCAGACACAGCCAGTTTGTGAGGGAGTCTGGAATGCTGTGTTGAAAGCAAGTGCCTACAACTGCTTGTTCAGTAAGCAGCACCTAAATCAGTTCTTGGATCTAGCCCAGGTCTTTGTGACAGGTCTCTGGGTACCAGCGGGTTGAACTATGCTGGTTTCATAACATATTGCTTAAAGGTATTCAATTATACATAAATTTATAGATTTTTTTTTTTTATCAACAGTCAGATCTTTCAAATGAATATTGCTTTTTTAAAAACAAAATCCTATTCCTGTAGCAATCCCTGAAATAATGTTCCTGTAATATCTTTGTCATGCAAATAGCAGCGTGTAGGCAATTCAAATATAAAGTAACCAAAAGTCTGTCCAGTGGGAAAGTGAGGCACTTGGGCAAAGTGACTTGTAGTCACTCGTGATCTACGCAAGACCTAAGAACAATCCCTGGACCTGATTCCCATTCTTGAGCTTGAACCACTGGACAGGCAATGTTGTTTGGAACTACTGCATGATGGCAGCAATACCTTTGCTGTGTCAAGATGGGCTTGTTTCATGTGTCACACTTAAACTCACTCACTCTTCGGAGCTCATTTCCTGTACCTCTCGCTCCAGAAGCCAAAATAACTTGGTTCCAGTTCTCCATTTTGAGAGCAAGGATGAATTAGAGCAAGGTAAGCATTCTAAAAACATCAAGTTGGCTTTTCACAGACACAGATGCGATGCAAAGACAATGTAGATGATGTTTTGGTACACAAAGTCTGTTAACCAGGCTATCTGTTGGTACTGCATTATACTTTTTGGTGTGCCGGATGGTGTGTTCTAGGAGCAATCTGGCTTTCCTGAAAGTCTGAAGAAGGCTTGATATAACACATGAGCTTCACAGGTGAGTCTGTGCTCCGGCACCTGCTGGAGCTGCATTGCATTACTGAGGTGGTGGGGGAATTTCTTCTGAAGTCACCTTAAACTTTTCTCTCTCCCTTTCTTCCTTCTCCAACCCTGAACAACAGATGGATCTGCCCTTGGAATACCGGGCGCAGCACTTCCGCATTTCCTGAAGCACCGTTTCACACTTAGACTCCACGTAGTTGTTCACTGGAAAATAAGAAGGAGACACTAAGTCTGCAGAGGGGAATGGGTTTTGTCCCTGAAGGGGACACATCTAACCCAGCCCTTCAGCTGCTGGGCAGCATGTTCCTCTGAAAAGCAAGAGCTGCTTACAAGCATTTCATCACTTTGCTCTATAAATCTCTCACTTTAGTTTCAGCTATCTAAAGCCATGCAAAGGCAGCGTTGCCATTGTGGATGGGAGCGTCTTCAGTCCCTCAGTTTTGCAGCTATCAAATCTCACCACAGTAAGAATGAGGCTTCCCTTACTGCTGCCCTTCAGTTCTTACTTTCTTTAGCCTGTGTGCTTTTAAGCTGGATCTTACCATCTGTGGTCTTCAACCCAGCTGCCATGTCACCATAAGGTTTACAACTGAGTGTAAATATAAGAGCATCCAAAGAGGACTTGTTATAAACAGGGACACATGCACCCTTCAGCTCTGCGGGGTTAGTAAAAGCAAGCAGTGAGGTGGCCTGTTGTGGGCAGGCTGCAGCGTTGCAGCGTAACCAAAGCAAGCAGCATACTAGCAGGAACACTCAGCCAAATGCCAGCAGCTGAATCCAACTGCACAGAGCTAGTAACGCAACCACCTTCCACACAAGGTCCCACCTCTAGCTCAGGAGGTCCCTTAGCCACACAACAGTTACTTGACACCCTCTCACTTTGCTTCCTAGGCTTCTCCTCTTGAACACTGCCAGAGCTGGGACGTCGGGCTAAACGATCTCCTAGTCTGAGCTGGGATGACTGGGTTCATGTCTCTGCATGGCACAGCTACTCCCACCTTTGTAATTTCTCCATATTGCCTTTGTTTCAGGCTCAGAGAGATTTCACTGCACCAGCAGGTTCAGGCACTGCAGGACACAGGTGATTTGTCCAGTATCCTTTCTGCCCTAGTGCTTTGCTGGCTGCCACTGTTGGCTGAGGTGGCAAAGCCCATAGTGCTTCGCAGGGCTGGCCACCAGGCTCTCAGAGAGAAGCCCTGTGGGTATGTGAGCAGACTGAGTGTGTAGCTTGAATTAATAACTACCTGCCTGTCTGCATAGAAGCGCACGGTGTATAGAGCTACCCGCTCTGCCTTGGATGAGTTACACAACCGCTACAAAGCTGCACTCACCCCCACCCCCACCTCACCACTGATTTTTAAAAGACGAAAAGAAGCAACAGCAACTCAACACGAGGCAAACACAGCACCCACTGGAGAGCCCAGCAAGAAGCAGTGAATACCTTCCGGTTAACGAGTAAGCCAGCCCACTCTGATTGCTGGGCTATGAATTCCCTAACTGGGTTGGTGAGTGACCTGTAACACTAGCACAGAGGTCACTCCTGAGAAAAAGGTTACGGTGATGTTACTGCTTTGTGCAAGCTGGCAGCCTAGGAGGCATGGCAGGCCCTTGGAGAGGAGGCTAAGCTCCCTCTGGCATAACATGCCAGTGATGAGTGCTCCAAGGCTCTCCTAACTGTTTCTCTGCCTGTGCAGGTGTGTTTCTAAAACTACAGTTACATACAGGCACACCCTGCTATCAGTCATGGATGCATTCCTGAAAAGCACAACAGTTAGTCATACAAAGGACAGCAAAACACAAAAAAGATATACAGTGGACATGAAGTCTCACAGAGGAAGCAGGCACAATCTTTTGGAACAATGACCCACGCCAAAACTAGCCTTTGAAAAGCCAGCATCTCTCAAATGTCCTGCTTCCACCCTCCATCCTCCACACTGTGTACACTATTTCTGCGTATTTGTCAGTTAAGGATCTGTATACATCCTCTACTGCATTAATTCTTACAGGGAAAAATTCCTTTGCTGTCTGTCAACACAGCTGCTTCATCTGTGCAACTCAGACAACTCCACAGCATGGTAATACATGAACAGCAACAGCACTCCAAAATGATAGCTAAAGTGGTGGACAGTGGAGTGTGCATGTAGCAAAGAGCTTCTTTGCTAACACTTGACCATTCAGATCAAGTCTGTACACAAACCTACACAGGTAAAACACTTGGAATGACCTCCATGAATGTTATAAAAAGAACACTGTCACAGACAGGACCAAAACAGGATCAAACATTAGCTTTTAAGTGCAGTTACTATGGGGGGACAAGGCAGCTCTTCAAGGGAGAACGCACCAAACCATGAACAGTAAGAAGTAGTATCTAGACAAATGTTGGGGACATGTAGAGGGGGTTGCTTGAGCCCTTGCTTTGAGCTGAACACAAGTGTCCAAAAGACAATCCTGGGAAAGACAGACATCTACCAACGAATGAGTATTACTTTTCCCTACTTTTCCCCAGATGCTTCTTCTGCTATGCTTCTCCCCATCCACCAGGGTTGTGTTACCTGCACAGATTGCAATCACTATGTTTGCTGCAGCCTGCAAAGCCATCCCTCTACTTCCTCAACAGGAACCCTCTTCCCTTCCTGCTATATTTTAGCTAACCTGCTTGCAGTCTGCAAACAAATTAAAGGCAGAAATGAGTTGCTGTGGAACTGGCCTAGCTAATTTCAGCTGTGGCATCACTAGCCTCCTGCCTTGTCACCCCTGGGTTAACACCATGAGTTATTCTCAGATGAAGCTCAGAGCATGCTGGCTAAGGGCTCCACCAGGTGAGTTAGGAAGAACTCTTTCTCATATGGCTGAGCTGCCTTGGTGCAGAGGAATGCTTTCTCTTATTCATTCCATAAGGCAAATCCTTTTCCAAGCAGCAACCAAAATTCTTTTAAAAATATTGTCCTCTGCAAGTAACAAGCCTGCTCTCCCCAGCTCAGGCTCCTAAAACACATTATCACATAAACTCCCTTGCCCCTACAAATATTTAGCTAAGCTAATATAAAACAGCTGTTAAAGGCCTCCAGAGGGAGACCATCTCATACCTTGAAGCCAGATCACATATACCTAAATCGATCCTGACAGACATCTGTCTGACCTGCTCTCAAAATACCCCTGGAGCTAGAAGCTCTGCAGTCTTCTCATACAATCCACCCACTACCTCAGTAGTGACTCTGTAAGAGAGCTTCTTATAACGTCTAGCTCTCCCCGCCTACAGCTGAGTCCCAAGACTACACATGGGATCTCACTACCAGAATCCAGAACACTCTGAAAGAAGCACAATATTATTGTTCCAAATGCTGTTTTGTACTAATGGTGTCTCGTTATTTACAGTCAAGGAGAAGGGAATTCTATCAAAACCAGACATTATAATTTTGTTTGCTTTGCAACCAGGTGATACTAATGTGCTTGCTTGCTTTCTTCTCAAGGTGAAAGGAGAACAGGGTTAAGTTAAAAGGTCTAAGTTCCACCAGAAATCAAGACACCAAAAAGACAAAATGACACTTGGTACCTTGCAAGCATTTCTGTATTTCACAGGCTTGTTTCTGGCAGGGATCCTTCTGGGACATGTTCAGAGAACTAAAATGATAGGAAAACGTTTACTGTAGAAACAATGTGCTTTTTGGGATGTGGGGGTGGGGTGGGGAGAGCAAGACACTGTCTTAAAGCCAAGGCTTTAAAGAGCTCCCAATTTCCCTCTCTGTTACGGACAGTTCAGAAAACATCTAATGCTGCTTGCAGATGCCTGCCAACACAGACAAGAATTCCCTGCGTCTGGCTAAAGAATGATAACATGGACAATGAATATGGGAAGTTTTACACTGCTAGGCTTGACGGCCGTTCTCTTTTCTCTGGTCAAAATGTGTCCTTTTCCACCTGGATGCACAAAGATTCCAGCAAAGATTCCAATTAACATGGCTGACTAATTTTTAACAGTTCTGTCCCTCCAGACCTTATACTAAAACGTGCATTTGTGTAAAATCCCTCTCTGTGAGCTCTACACAACCAAGGATTTGGTGTTAGTCATATAACTGCAGCTGGAAGAGGCATTTAAAAAACAACCAAACAAAACACCTTAGTTGTGTATGTCCCAGAAAGACAACATGGAGGGCTTTTTTTTTTTGTTCCAGGAGAAAGTCTCTTGGAAATCGACACCACCCTCCCCTCCCCCCCAATAGACTGGAGGACAGCTCCATCTTGTTCAAATCCCTAGAAAGTGGGATTTCAGACACTCAGTTTGACTTTCTGCAACTGTGACACCCGTAACTCTGATATTCTGTGAGAGACCAAAAGACAAGCAAAAACTGGTGGTACTAGCAGTTGGATGAGAGACCTCTACAGGAAAGCACCGCTGTTACTGAAAGTGGGGGTGGGACTTCAGCTCCCTCTGAGCCACAGTTCAGCTCCTGCCCCTGCCCAGAGCTAGGGAGGTGCTGCCTTTCAAATTTCTGATAATTCACCAGCCCACAGCACTTTTCAGTATCGCTAGGGCATTATTTCCAGCATCCTGGCCAAACTCCACTTGGGGCAATTACATTCTGCCTATCTAGAACTCCCCCTGACATTTCACTTGGACACAACACTCCACTGCCTGTCCTAAACTCTTGTGTGGTGTTGCTGTGTGTTGTTTGACTACTTCCACCTCAGAGGTGGCTGCATTTCAGTGGAGAGGGAATTATTTATTGTACAAAATAAACAATGACATCTTCCTAGAGCCACTGCTCCTCAAAGACAAAAATTCATATTAAAGAATAACTGGGTATAAACAGAGCACAGTAAAAAGCAGGGGTAAGGTCTACACATACCAGATTAATCACCAGGCACGAGTTTAAGCAGCAGTTCTTCAACACCACCAAGCTGTAAGTGACAAGGAAAAGTTCAATACGTCTACAGTTACTGTGGCTGAGCTAACGGACTTCAACAAAATAACAGTCCCTTGCCGTCCCTCAAGGATCTCAAATGACTTCACAAACAGGCATGACTATGGTCTATTGTTGCCACCATCCTTACCATGAGATGGTGCTCTATCTCCCAAACGCGAGAGTTACTATCCCTGTACTGCTCACCCTGGGACAGCTGCCACATATGAGGCAGCCGGGATGGGGGGAGCTGGCTGGGTCGCAGCGCCTCACCCAGGGGAACCTGAACTCTTTGGATCCGAGCCCTCAGCATACCTTCCTCCTGGGGGAAAGTAACAAAAAGAGCAGGCAGTTACTGGCAATGCAGTAGAGGCACCTGCAATAGCAAAGCTACAATCACTGGGAAGCTCAAAACACACTTGCCTCTTCAGCAGCCACAAGCCACGTTTTGCGGTGCTCATCGCAGTAAACACCTATGCGTCGCACCCACAGTCGGACAGGAGGAGTGCCAGCGTGCCCTCCTTCTGCCATTCCCTCAGTCACTTCAGGATGCTCCCGTTAGGTGGACGGCATCAACTTGCAGGATGTATGCATGGTCTCTTTAGCTCTGAATACATTCATGGAGAAAGCTCTCAGACCTGAAAGGCACCTCTGGGTAGCATCTGACTTATTGTAAGAGATGCGATGTGCTGAAATGTCCCTAAAAGTCAGCTTAGAAAACTAAGGTGGTGCCTAAGTGAACAGAAATTTCATGATAAGTTGTACACTGGGACATGGGTGCTGCATGGTGTTTGTAAGGCATTCTGGGGCAAAAGGTGCTATTGGTACAAAGTTAAACCCTGTGAATACTGGCTTTGCTTATTCCACTAACAGTCCTATTAACAGTCTTTATGTAAAATAGGAAAAAAAAAGAAAGAAGTGATTTACACAGGAGTTCCGTGGCCCATGATGGTCTAAATCCCAAAAGCAAAACTTCTGACAAGAGGTGAAATTAGTTTAACAAGAACGAAGATCTCTCTGGAGACAAAGCATGAAACTCCATGTGCATGACTCTCATATTTGGAACTTGCAGAGCTGTCATTGTGAAGGGTCCTTCGTCTCATCTCTCAAGAGGATGGCAGCATTGTCCATTCATATACAAGCTTCTCGTGAACAGCTCTCGTGACTTCACGTAGTTCAGCTTTTAGATGGTTACAGAGAGCCACCGACACCAGCAGGGACAAAGGAATTTTGGACATTGAGGTGGTTCTTCCTATTGGAATTTTTGTTTAACAGCAAGTTTATCTGTATACCAGTTAGATCAAGCTGAGCCATTAGCAAATGAAGGTCAGGGGAAATGACTCTCTCTTTGGACCCTAGAAGAGGTAATCAAAATGGTACAGACAGTCTTCATTCTTTATCTAGGTTTAAAGTAGAACAGAATTAAGCTGTAATACATATAACATCCTTCTGCTATGAAGCAGATGCAACACTCCTATCCCAGTGAAACACAGTGGTCTTCTGAAAATTTGTAAAGTTATAGGGTGTATTTCAGACAGGAGCAAGAAAATCTGGGTACAAAATAAAGTTACATTGGAGTACATATACAACAGGAAACACACTTCCATGCTGCCTTCTGTATCAGTGCTTCTCTACCTTTTTGAAGCAAATGATCAAATAGCCTTTTTGAAAATGGAACACCAATCATGGACCAGCCTGAAGAGCACTGTCACAGTATTTTAATTTCTAACAAAGAAAACTTTAAATGTTCTTTTATTCTTTTTTTTCCCCTTTCGTTTGTTTCCTTGCTTGACGTTTGGGAATATGTATGTGCACTATAAAAAACACCACTGTTCAGAAGACCATTCTGTGATGTGGTACAGCCATTCCAAGCAATGCCCCAGCAGCTGGATCACTGGCATTTAGAGGAATGTGACAGCAGACTGACAAGCCTGATAAGGCCTTCAAGAATAAGCTATGAGGGTTAAAGGGACATTTCTCTAAGTCCTTTTCATTCTACTTTACCCTAAGTTACTTTACAGATTTAAACCCATGTGTGGAAATCACTTTGCCCAACAATGAAATGCAGCAATCACCACTGCTCATTTTCAGTCAGCTGAATGTAATCACCCAGGCTGGAATTCGGCCAGGATACTTTCCTACTCTCCAGTAAACTGTCAAAAGCTCCATCATGACCAAAAATGCTCAAAAACTTGCTTTTATTCCATTCAAAGCTGGAATTTCTACAGCTCATCATCCCCAGAACCAGAAGACTCAAGACTGACTTCAGTATTGGAAAAATGTTACTCAGTAAGTGAATGCTATTTCCTACACCAAGTAAACTCTCCTGGAAGGTCTCCTATCCAAATACTAGCCTAGTTCAGTCTTGCTGAAATACAGGTAGGAGGACTAAAGCACAACATGTATGTTTGTGTTTATTGTGTATGAACATGGTAGTAGTGATAGGTACAGGACCGACAGAACACGGTCTCATGCAGAGGACACTGTGCAGAATGGGCAGCGGTTAACGTGTTTTCACCCTTTGCCTCACTAATTTGTCCCAAACTTCCTCTGAACTCCATAGCTCCAAGTTCCTTTGCCAAAGTTCGAAGGCCTAGTCTGGCCTTTCTTTTCAACAGTCTATAAGACTGTTACGAAGGCGTCCAGTTAGTGCCACAACTAAAATTCTGAGGTCAGGCAAAACCATCAATTGGGTTTGAAGTAAGACAGGTCTGTCTTTAGTACTCAAACATACAAAAGAAACCGCAGATTTGAAAAAGGATGCGCTTAGACACTTGCATCTGAAACTTTAAGTAGGGAAAAACCTATACAATTCCTGTTTGTGCAGATTTTATCAGAAAGCAATAAAAAAGCCTGCAGGAAGATATGGGTGAAAGGAAAAGTAAGCTTACTTATATTCAAAACAAGTTATGAAACCTGTTTCTTATATTGCTTGCTTCATAATCTATTAAAAAAAGCACCATGTCCAACAACAAAACAATCAGCTTAAATCTGCAGGATTTCAGTGTCACCCTTTGACACAGATTTTAACATTCCCATCAACATAATTGCAGAAGTCTGAGCTGTTTAAGGTATTGATTTGGGAAGTTTTAAAGCCCAGTCCCCATGGACAGAAACAAGACTTGCAGGTACTCTGTCCGTCTCAGCATCAGGCCTTAGAAGTTTAATGCTGTTCTGGGACCTGGGTGGATTTCCGAGTCATATATATATTATATGAAAAAATGTGAAAACTGCCAGGAGAAGGACTGCATCTTGTAGTAAAGACAATTTATTTGCTTTTCAATTGGGTACATTAAAATATCTTATGAAAACAGTGAAAGAAATTGCTCCAGCTGCCACTTGGACCATACCCAGAGCTAGAGCTCAGTATGCTGAACAAACTCCACCCTTTATTACCTTCTATTTTAAAAGGGGCCTGTGTCAGATTGTTAGAAGAGTTCAGCTGCCATTTAGGTGCCAAGCAAAAAAAGTAATGCTAAGGCTCAGTGAACTGGGCACAGGGTTGTGATAACACGGCTACACAGCTTCTGGACCAAGACCAGCCAGTCTGGCTTTCTAGCAGAGAGTGCGCAGCCTTCAGGGAGCTCAAAGGGAGCTGAGCTTTCCTGAAAAACCCAGCCTGTATCTTGCAACAAGTCAGGGATCAGATGAGCTGTCTGCTGTTGAGCAGCACGTTGATGCACTCTAAAGCTTCTTCCTGGGGGTCTGGACTCTAGTCTGCCCGGAGCACTCGCCCCGAGCAAGCATGTCTGTGACTCCACTCTCCGCTCTACCCAACCTGCTGAGGGGTAGTAGATGCTCACTGACCAGCCAGGGCTTTCCAGCAGTTGGGGGAGGGAACGTCTAGATTTGGTAGGATCTAAAGAAACAGCAAGACAAAAAGAGCTGGACATAATGTGGGGGGGGGCCCAGTAGAGGAAGGGGAGGACGAGGAGAGG